GGACCCCTTCCTGACACCTTACACTAAAATTAACTCCAGATGGATTAAAGACTTAAACATAAGACCTGGCACCATAAAAACCCTAGAAGGAAATCTAGGCAAAACTATCCAGGACATAGGAGTAGGCAAGGACTTCATGAACAAAACACCAAAAGCATTGGCAACAAAAGCCAAAATAGACAAATGGGACCTAATGAAACTCCACAGCTTCTGCACGGCAAAAGAAACAGTCACTAGAGTGGATCAGCAACCAACAGAATGGGAAAAAATTTTCGCAGTCTACCCATCTGACAAAGGGCTGATATCCAGAATTTACAAAGAACTCAAACAGATTTACAGGAAGAAAACAAACAAGCCCATTCAAAAGTGGGCAAAGGACATGAACAGATACTTTACGAAAGAAGACATACATGAGGCCAACAATCATATGAAAAAATGCTCATCGTCACTGGTCATCAGAGAGATGCAAATCAAAACCACATTGAGATACCATCTCACGCCAGTTAGAATGGCGATCATTAAAAAATCTGGAGACAACAGATGCTGGAGAGGATGTGGAGAAAAAGGAACACTTTTACACTGTTGGTGGGAGTGTAAATTAGTTCAACCATTGTGGAAGACAGTGTGGCGATTCCTCAAGGCCTTAGAAATAGAAATTCCATTTGACCCAGCAATCCCATTACTGGGTATATATCCAAAAGACTATAAATCGTTCTACTATAAGGACACATGTACACGAATGTTCACTGCAGCACTGTTTACAATAGCAAAAGACCTGGAATCAACCCAAATGCCCATTGATAATAGACTGGATTGGAAAAATGTGGCACATATACACCATGGAATATTATGCAGCAATCAGAAATGATGAGTTTGTGTCGTTTGTAGGGACATGGATGAATCTGGAGAACATCATCCTCAGCAAACTGACACAAGAACAGAAAATGAAACACCGCATATTCTCACTCATAGGTGGGTGATGAAAAATGAGAACACATGGACATAGAAAAGGGAGTACTAAACAGTGGGGTCTATTGGGGGGAAAAGGGGAGGGCCAGTGGGAGGGGGAGGTGGGGAGGGATAGCCTGGGGAGAAATGCCAAATGTGGGTGAAGGGGAGAAGAAAAGCAAAGCACAATGCCATGTGTGTACCTACGCAACTGTCTTGCATGCTCTGCTCATGTACCCCAAAACCTATAATCCAATAAAAAATTAAAAAAAAAAAAAAAAACCTTCAATAATTCTCAAAAATGTGTGATTTCTGTCGTGTCTGAGGATCATTATTAACTACAGGACAATTATCTGATGTCCTCCCTTAAATCCATTTTCTAAAAAAAAAAAAAAAAATTAAATGCCTACTTTGGCCTCATCCTAAACATTATTACCCATAAAGTCATGGCTTTAATGTGCTAATTATATTTTTTCTAAGACAATCCGCATAGCTAGATCATCCTCTCCTATTTTGGATAGTGACGTATACAGGAATCTACCTTTCAGAAAAGGACTTGAGGGCAAATGGATTGAGCTAAAAACATTGGCTTATATATGCATCTGTGTGTAAAACATGCATTTTAACTAACCTTCGTCATTTTACCCTTTCCTTCCTTCTGTTAAGGCCTTTAAATAGTAAGTCAGTGGCCTAAACTGCTTTGTACAATTACTTTTCCAGAGACCAGAAGAAGCATGATTCAGTGAATATTTTGCTGATTAGAACATGAGCAGAAGTCCCAAATACTCAGAGATCACCTATCTTTTAAGTCCTGATGCAAAAAGAACCTTTTGACACAAATATATCAAACGGGCTTCAAAAATTTAGAATAGCAAATGTAATATGAAGCGATTGAAAATGTTTTATATAGGTAAGGTTTTGGGTCCTTTGAGATTTTTCTCAGCACTTTGTTTTAATCTTAAAGAAACGGTACCTTGAGGCCACCTCCTCACTTCCCCTTGAATAAATCGTCCTGATTTTCATAATGAGTTGCTTTTTTGGCGCAGAGCTGTGGGTGTGCAGGTTGCTGTTTCAAATGTACTTGAGTAGCTCCTGTCCTTCATTTGGGAAATATTTACTGCATGCCTACAACAGCTAGCTTTTGGGTGCTAGGGAGACAATAGAAGGCAAAAAAATGGTTCCTCGTGAGGAGCTTACAGTGTGGGAAACAGACACCTATTATCTCCCAAATCAACAGCAGATTGCCCCAAGGAAGTGGCGTTAGAGCTGGGATCTGTGTAGGGGAGAGAAGAGAATGAACCAGGCAAAGGGAACGTCACTGTTAAAGGCCCCTTCTGTGGTAGGGCAGTTTAGAGAGCATCTCCTTCCAAGGAATTGGAAGAATGCCAGAGTAGCTGGAGTCTGTGGCTGCCAGGGGCTGGACCACAGCCGCTGTGAGGAGTTTGGTCTTTGCCCAATGGGGAACTACTGAAGGGCTTGAACTCCTCAAAAAAATGGAGGTTCTGTCAGCAATGAAAAAGGCAAAAGTGGGTATCAGGTACACACGTAACACCCCAAACATCCCTACCCAAAACAGAACCCAGATTTTCCTATTTCCACTCTCCCAAACCTGCTTGTGGTTCACTGTTTCTCACCTCAGTGAATGGCCACCATCCATCCTGTAGTTCGTGCTAAAAATCTGGGTGTCAGCCATATCTCCCTCTTCATCCGCCATACCTAGTCCATGGCCAAGCTCTGTCCATCCCACCTGTAGGAGTCCATCAACGTTGCTATACCTGAGGCTGGGTAATTCATTTTTAAAAAGAGGTTTATTTGGCTCCTTGCCCACTTCCTTGGGGCAATTAGCCACTGATTTGGGAGATGACTTGATTGGCATCTATTTCCCACACTGTAAGCTCTACAATGAGGAACCATGTCTATTTTGTTCTCCATTGCCTCCCCACCATCCAAAGCCTAGATGTCACAGGTGTGCAATAATATATGTCAAGTGAAAGAAGCAACTAAAGTACGTTCGTATAAGAAGCATGGTGTCAGCATCTTCTGGTGAGGAACTGAGGAAGTTTCCACTCATGGCAGAGACCAGGAGGAATCATCCTGCAAGAAAGAAAGCAGGGGTCGGGGGAGGAGAAGTTGACAGGCTCTTCTTAACAATCAGTTCTCTCCAGACTAACAGAACTCACTCATTACTGCCAGGACAGCACCAAGCCTTTCATAAGGGATCAGCCCCCATGACCCAAACACCTCGCACAGGCCCCACTTTCAACATTGGGGGGTCACATTTCAACACGAAGTTTGGCAGGGTCAAATAAACCATATCCAAAGTATATCACCCCGTCTTAAACATCTCTGGAGTTCATTCGATTCTCCATCTCTACCATCAAATTCATGCAATTGTCTGTTGCCTGAACTACTGCCATGGTTTCTGGACTGTCCCGTGACGCTTGTTGCCCTACAATCTGTTTTCTGCACAAGGTGATGTTTTCAAAATATAAGTCTGATCATGGCTCTCCTCCACCTAAAGTCTAGGCAGAGATCCAGGGACAATCTCAGCCCAGGCCGATCATGATGGACTCATTCCACTTGCCATTGACTGATTTCATAGCAGCCAGAGACCCAGAGACTGACTTCTGGCCACTGAAACCTGCAGGCATTTCTTCTGCAGAGCTTCTGGAAAAGGTATTCATGTACCTCAAAAGGGACCACTGGCAGAAAGGGATACTTTTAATTTTGTGAAATCCTGGGTGTGCCTGGAGTGCGGCACCCATCTTCCTACCAGCCTGAAGGTGCAATTCCAGGGGCTGCAAGGGAAGTAGAGCCTGAAGACTAGGGCACCAGCTCTGGACCCACCTTGCCATGGAGAGAAATCTCCTTGCTAAGTGAGCCGGTTTGAGTTGGCTTTTCTGCCATGTGTAGTCTGATGCTAGTGTGTGTTTAAGGCATCTGGTGTCATGTGGGCAGTTGCTGACATGCACTGAACACTCAGTGGAAAGATGTGAGCTGGAGAAATACCTATGTGAGTTCTTGGTGAAAACTGAAGGTTGGGGAAAGGATGAAAGCAGAAGAAAAGCTTGGAAGAAGAGAATAAGCTGCAAAGAAGATTGAGAAGAATCGGGCCACAGAGGTGCCACAGGAGACCACCTGTGGCCTGAGGAAAGCATTTCTTCCTTGCCTGCCTTTCTGTATTAAGACTCATATTAAAAGGCATTATAAGGCATTGTAACATTCCTAAATGTGCCCTCAGTGAACAAACGGAAGTGGCTCAGAAGGGTTTTCAGCTGGGGGAGGAAGCTGGATTTCTGAACCAACCCTTGGGATTCACATCAGGAGTATTTGGCTTCCTGCCCTTTAGTAAGTCACTTACTAGAATCTCAGAGGCAACCAAAAATGGAACAATCTGGCCAGAGAATGTATCTTCTTTTCTGAGTTTAGCACACTGAGGTAGTGTCAGAGACATGTCAGTGCCTCTGGTGTCTAGAGAAGGGGCAGCGGCTTGCCGGGAGAGGGCTGTCGCGGCAGTGTGGAAATGGAGTGCCGAGATTGGAGGGAGTAGCCACGGAGAGGCACCATTGGTAAAAACAGGCCCAGAAAGCCGTTGGCGGTCACAGAATTAGGCCGGAGAGAGACCTCCATGGGAAAGGAGACAGGAGGTCCACTGAGAGCATGTGAGTTAAAAATAATAAAATTAGAAAAGAAAAATGACCAGGAACTATGTTGCCATGGGAGAGGTTCTACAACTTCAGTGTGGGCCAGAATCAGCAAGGGAACCCGTGACAAATGAGGATTCCTGGTCCTCAGCCTCCCCGAACCCCAGCCCCCAGCCCCGTCTCCACTGGGATGCTGCAGGTAGGGCCGGCATGCACAGGTTCACAAAGCTCCTCTGGCTGCACTAGTGCCCGGGGCCGACTTGGAGCTGAACTCCCTTCAGCTCCAGCCTCCAGCTCCGGCACCGATGGAGAGAACGGGCGTTTCTTGACGCCACGCCAAGCGTCCTTCTGACCCCTGGGACCCTGTGGGCCCGTTGTGGCGGCCTCGGGCCTCGCAGAACTCCCCGAAGCAGTAGGACCCTGCGCCAGGAGCCACGGGGCGGTCGCGCGGCTGGGCACGCCCCAACTGCACCCCAGCCCCAGCACAAGGCGGTTGCGAGGCGACCTGAGCACATAAACCTCCGGGCGGGTCTCCATAGTGACTGGCGGATGCCCTGGCCAATTGTGTCCCGGCGCTTGTTTATCTCCACCCCATCCCTCCTCGGGGGACCGATATTTCCAAGACTGACAGGCCGTTCCGGGTGCTGTTACGTAAGGGGAGGATCAATTGCAGCCTCACCCAAACCGGAGTGATTTGATTGGCAGGACGAAGGGCTGTCTTCCCAACGCCCCCGGAAAAACGTCCTTGACGGGCAGATGTGAGAGCCAGTTGGCGCCAGGAGGCAAGGCGGAAGCCTTGGGCCCAGGGGCGTGCGGCAGGGGGTGGAGCCCGGCGCCGAGGGCAGGGCAGGGTGGGGCGGGGCGGGGATCAACCTGGAGCTGGGCTGGCGCTACGGCCGGAGATGCTGTCGGGCCGCGACAGCGCTCGGCAGCCAAGAGCTCTGCATTGAAGGCACCGGGGTGAGATGCACTGCCCGGTACAGTGGTAGGTATGCGAGGGCTGAGGCATCCGTAAATCTGGCCGCCAGCCTCCGCGGGCCTGGCATTTGTCCGTCCTACTGGGCGCTTGCGGCTCGGCGGCGACGGCGGCCGCGCTGGGACATGGAGGCGGGACCGAGCACCTGTGCGCATTTGCAGGCACCTGCTGCGCTGGCCGCCTCACAGCCCGGGACTGCTGCTGGGGGCTGCGGCTCCAGCTGGGCCGGGCCGGCCGAGGGAGAGAGGCAGGCCCTGCTGGCTCGCCCCGGCCGGTGCCCGCCCTCCCCGACTGGGTCCCGAACCCGAGCCTTGGCTAAGGAGGTGTCGCCGAGTCCCATAGCCCCTCATTGCAGGGGCCTGGGATTCCCGGGTCAGCTTCGAGCTAGCTGCAAGTCCAGGACAGGGCCCCCGCCTTGCATCACCTTGAGACAGGTTTGTCCAGATTCCCTGCGTGCTCAGAGGCTGATTTCCGCCCGCGGCGAGGGTGCCGGTCCGAGGCCTCCGCGGGTCCCGGCTGTCCCCAGCGAGCGTAGTCCGGGCCATTTTCGTCTTTTTTCTGGTCCCTGCTCTGTCGCCTCTTAACGTGGAATTTCAAGTCTGATTCGGGGTGATGTGAGGGCACCGTGGCACACAGAGTAACAGCAGCATTCATGTTTTAGCTCTGCCATGCACTATCATTCGCGCAGACTGAAACCCCAGACTTCTCAGCTGGATGATGTAAAGGAATGTAGCCGTGGCCAAAGAAGCAGAAATTCTAAAATTGTTTCCCAGTGGCAAGGATGTAACCTATGTCTTGCTTCCATCTATGTCATTCCTCTCGGAACATGTCATGCTGTGCTTGTCCAAGACTAGACCCTGAAAAATGTGCTAGTTTCTCGTGATTATTATCTTGCAGCTGGAAACATTGGATTAAAAGAGCCATCGCAAAGTTAGGCAGCAGTAGACAATACCTCCTGCTTAAAGATAGGCAGAACTGGGGACAAATTGTATTGGGTTCTTAAAGGCAAAGTCGGAGAATCCTAACGTGTTAGACCTGGGAGAGACTACAGGTTTGCACCAACCCATTAAATGTACATGGTGGAGAGCACCACTGTGTCCCAAGGGATGGAGGTCCTGTGTTAAATCAGGTGTGTCCTAGAGGACATTGGGGTATTTCACATTACTGCTAGATCTGAAAATCAGTGTCTTCATTTGAGCCAAACAAGAACATGCCCCCGCACATTTTTGATATCCTAAGTGTATTCATACTCACCTTTAAAGGCAGATTTGCGGAGAGCTGTTGTTACTTATTGGATGTTTTCCATGTTAGTGGAAGAACCAGGATCTTCATTCCTCTGATTTAATTACTGGGTGGCATTTTCTCATGCAAAACAAAACAGCAGTCATAGGCACTGGCAAGGTTTGGATGACTTGGGTTGGATATGTCCCTGGATGTCACAAGTTCATCAGAAGGCAAATTATTGCTGATTGGGGACATTTAGTACATGGTTTGCGCATGATCTGCTTAAGAAATTAGGAAAACTTTACTTAGTTTTGACCCTTTTCACCTTCAGCCTTTTGATTAGTACAAGTAGGAATTCAGAGAAGGAGCTCTGCTTTAAAGGTAACAGCCTGCGGGAAAATCACCAGGGCAGAGAAGTTGCTGTTCTCTTACAGCTGGGCTTGGCTGCTTTTCCTTTGCTTCTTTGTATTTTTAGTAAATGACCCACTGACTTTATGACCTTTGAAGACACGCTTTCTTATTCACGGCTTGAAGCTTCGCCTGGAAGATCTGTACTTGTGAACTGTCTCTTGTAAGCCTCTGTTGCATTTGTCTGGATTGCTAGGCAGTTCCTTAAGTGCATGATCCTGCAGTTTCTATATGTTTCGAAGTTGTAAAAGGCAGTTTCCTGGGGGATGGTACGGACAGGACTCAGGTAACCCCTTTTATCATCTTAGTGATACAATTGCTTTGCCTTCCCTGTTTTCTCATTTCTTTGGCTAACACTTTGCTGGAGGAATCATTCTGTATTCAAGTGAGTTGAGACAGCTTTTAATTCAGCCTCCTTAGATATTTATTGTTTGTTCCCATAGCTGTGGGAACAGTGATACAACTTTTGCGTATGTGGGCACAGTGCATTCTGAATCTGGTTTTCCTGTTAAAAGCTGAGATGTGCTAGTAGCAGCTGTTGTCCATATCTTCTGAATTTCTGGCACCAAAGCTCATCTGTGTCACTGAGTAATCTGAATCCTAGCCAGGGGACCTGGTGCACAGATTCTGATAAACATCTAAAGGTGTGCAATAAATTAGAGCCAGAAAAGGAAGATGGTATAGAAGGAAACTGTTTCTGAAGATGCCTGAAGACCTTTCCTAGGTTTTTATAACTCTTTGTTATATAACATTATATTGTATATCTAGGGTATTAGATTTAGTTATTCATCATTTCAGAAGTCTTAGATGTTGGCCAGGCATGGTGGTTCACGCCTGTAATACTAGCACTTTGGGAGGCTGAGGCGGGCGGATCACTTGAGGTCAGGAGTTGGAAGACCAGCCTGGTCAACATGGTGAAACCCTGTCTCTACTAAAAATAGAAAAATTAGCCAGGCATAGTGGCAGCCACCTGTAATCCCACCTACTCAGGAGGTAGAGGCAGGAGAATCACTTGAATCCAGAAAGTGGAGGTTGCAGTGAGCCAGGCTATCACGCCAGTGCACTCCAGCCTGGGTGACAGAGCAAGACTCCATCTTAAAAAAAAAAAAAAAAAACTTAACTGTTGGTATCGGCATGTTTCTATGTTTTCCCGTCTTGTTTTAAGGTAAAGTGAATGCTGCAGACAGAAGATTTTGATGACACACCACTGAATTTGTTTGGAATACACGTTATGAACCCTTTCTGGAGCATGTCTACAAGCTCTGTACGCAAAGTAGGTACAGTTGATAAATTCAGTAAGGAAACCTATTTGCTTCTGTGTCTGAAAACAGGGTCAGAATGAAGGCCAAAGTAATCTGTCACAGTCACCTGTAATCTTGACAAAATTACCTGGGTTTTCTAGTTAAGGGTTTACTCTTGAAAAATAATTATTTTATTGGTTAAAGTCTGTTTCTGAGACTTCAGTTGCATCTCAAATACAAATCGTTCTGGTCATCACAATTCTAAGATTATTTAGGTTACATTTACACATGATATCTGTGACATTGTAGTTTCTGCTATACTTCAAGGTTCTATGGTTAGAACAGCTCTGGGAAAGGCTAGTCTAATATCATTAAATCAGACTTTAGGGGCACTAATTTTTCTAAATAAAATTATTAAAAAATATATCTTTTCATTTTAGGAAAGGTTAAATTAGACAATAAGAAAATTTAAATAACCATAATATCATCTCTGAGAACAAACACCACTATTACTTTTTGTGTACGTATATGATATACATCTCTTCCTCACTTGTACATAGCTAGTAATGGGGTACAATTGCAGTTTTGCTTCATTGGCATATTGCATTGTGCTGGTCAGGGCCTTTAGGTGCACCCATCACTGGGGCTATGCATACGATACATGTTTTTTTATATAGCTAATTAAACAGCCTTTGGTTGTACTTGCGCCAAGGAAGTACCTGTGCGATGGCAGTTTAGTCTCTGACTCATGTTGACCTTTGTCTTTGACTAAGGTTTATGCTGGTGATATCTGAAATGTCAAAACATACCCAGTAGGGACAAGATCAGAATCAGACCCAAGCAAGTGAGAGAATAGCTTTATTCTTTGTTTCCAACCCAAGTGCTAATAGGCAGTGACTACTTTCAGTCATCCACACTACTTTGAGCTTCTTAGACCTAACCTTCTATAGCATCTAAGTGCAGGGGGACTTTTCTAGCCTTGTGCAGTTGTCTTATTGCTTGGTAACCCCTTGCCCTCTTTTTGGGGCCACTAGGAGAAACCATTTCTCTCTGTGTTTCAGTTAATCCTGTACACAGTAACTGTGTCGTCCTTATAGGATGAGTTTCCCTGTACGAAAGAGTTTCTCTAATGCTTTGGTCTTGCTTCAGCTTTGTCTTTATATGACCTGCCTGCCCAAAGGACTTTCTAGTCATCTTGGGTATGGTGTTAGAATGTCCTTGTAAAGGAGTAATTCCAGCTTTTCGGCCATGGAGCTAACAATATACTCTTGTGATTTAAGAACCATCCTAACAGATAACCTTCCAACTTCATCTTGTATAGCGATCTGAAGGTGAAGAGAAGACACTAACAGGGGACGGGAAAACCAGTCCTCCACGAACTGCACCAAAGAAACAGCTGCCTTCCATTCCCAAAAACGCTTTGCCCATAACTAAGCCTGCGTCTCCTGCCCCAGCAGCACAGTCAACAAATGGCACGCATGCGTCCTATGGACCCTTCTACCTGGAATACTCGCTGCTTGCAGAATTGTAAGTTCTTAAACTATTTGGTTAAATTAGCAGTGATCCTTTAAGGTGAAGAATGAAGTTTATTCCGATGGACGCAGTAAAGGGCTGTCACTTAATCTCAAAGCTCAAACCTGTCCCTCCAACATCAGCCTTAATAAATATGGAGGCTATTGCTGGTGATGGAATCTTTCTTAACCAAGACCTAAGTAGAGTTATAAAAATATCCTCTCTTAAAGATTCTCATGTGGAGCTTGGGTGAACGAGATTTAAAGGCAGAGGATACTTTAAATTCCATGTCTGTTTTAGAGAGTAAGAAAAGGAAGAAACTAAGGTTTATTAGGAACTGACAGTAGACCAGGAACTTAATAAACTTGGTCTTCGTTTCTATGAAGTGAGGAATTTGCCTCCTGAAGAGGTTTTTCTAGAGTTGGACAGTGGCAGAGTGGTAATCTCTGCCTTCTTGGGTCAGACTCATCTGGAGGATGGTGCTCCTTGGTTGTCGCCTTGTAGGTGGCCTCTTGACAGATGGAGAAGGCCTAGCAGAGAAGGACCAGGAAGCCATACCTTAGGGATCAACGGTTGAAGGAACTGGAGAAGTTTTCTTAGAGAAGAGAAAGCTTAAGCACATATTAAAGTTGTCTTCATGTATTTGAAGGTCTGTCACAAAAAGGATCTGAATTATTCTGTATGACCCCCAAGGCAGGACTTAGCAATTCTGGGGAAGAGACAAAGATGTGGGCTCCATGTAAGGAAGATGCTGACTGGTCACTGAGGTCAGCAGCTGGGCTGCACTTGCACCTGGTTGTGGAGTGTAAGGAGCTGTACAGGGTGCAGAGTGCTGGCAGCAACCCCACAGTGCCTGGCACACACGGGGGCTCCAGCACTGCAGACGCAGATGGCATTTGAGAATTTGTTAAAAGGACAGAGAGTTTGGAGAATTCCTAATTTCCATCATTTAAAAATTCCTGTGTATAGTAATTTTAAGCATCCTTGAGCCAGGCACAGTGGCTCATGCCTATAATCCCAGCTACTTGGGAGACTGAGGCAGGAGGATCACTGGAGCCCAAAAGTTCAAGACCAGGCTGGGCAACAGAGTGACCCCGTCTCTAAAAGAAATTAAAAATATCCCAGCTGTGGGCCTATAGTCCCAGCTACTATAGGGAGGCTAAGGTGGGAGGATCACTTGAGCTCTGGAATGTGAGATAAGCCTAGGCCATATAGCAACTCCTCATCATTTTTCTTTTTTATGAGATGGAGTCTCACCGTGTTGCCTAGGCTGGAGTGCACTGGCGCAGTCTCAGCCCACTGCAGCCTCCATCTTCTGGGTTTAGGCATTTCTCCAGCTTCAGCCTCCGGGGTAGCTGAGACCACAGGTATGCACCACCATGCCCAGCTAATTTTTGTATTTTTAGTAGAGACAGGTTTTTGCTGTTTTGGCCAGGTTGGTCTCGAACTCCTGACCTCAAGTGATCTGCCTGCCTCAGCTTCCCAGAGTGCTGGGATTACAGGCATGAGCCACAGAGCTTAGCCTATGAGATCTCTTTTTGTTGTTGTTGTTGCCCAGAAAAAAAAAAAGCATCCTTGACTCCTCCCTCAATGTATTAATGTTGTCATAGTCAGAGGGTCTGAGGCCCCAGGGTAACTGGCTGGCTGGGTGTGATTTGGTACCAGTGGCCCCTTTGGCTCTGTAATGGAGGCCTTGTGTTTGAGGCTGGGCCGTGAGTTGAACAGGCCTTCACTGTGGTGATCAAATCTGTACTGGAACACAGAACTGCCTTTTCTGGCAAAGTAGATACATCTGCCAGCCATGTTGCTATGGACATGCTGAATTTTAGCAACTTAAAAATGGACTAGATAATAACTCAAAAATGATTAAAAGCAAGTGAATGGCAAGTAGGTAATAAAAATGATAAACAAATAGTTCTTGATGAAATCCAGGATTGGCAGGTTAATGTGTTTTAAGACCCTAGGTAAAATTTGTTCTTTTCAAGGTATGGTCTCAGCCTTACCTCTTTAGGCTCATACTTGCAAGGAACAGACCAGAGTGGTTGTGGGTGGTAACGAGGTCCCAGAAGAACCAGTGTAGCCTTTGTGTCAGTACACCTGTCGTTCCTTGTTTTCAGCACCGTTTCCCATTCCCTGGCAAGGCCCAGAGTTTAGGTGTCTGCGTTGGGGGGTCAGTTTGAGGGCAGAGCATGTGAGAGCTTTGCAAGGATACCTGCCCTCCCCAAGCAGCACTGCGAGCCGGACACTGCCCACTGCTGTGGGATCTTGTGATTCAAATATAAAATGACAACTTGGTGATCCAATTCCAAGAAATCTTAATTTATCTAAAGTTGTATTTTAAAAGTTTTTGAATGATCATCCACAATCACAAAAGCATCATTTTATAAATACTCTCATTGACCTCAAATGTACAGAACTTAACTTCAGATTGCATTATTCAGAATTGCCTATAGGCTGGTTTCCAAATGATGTTTGGAAGAGCAGATGTCTGGAAGGAAAAGTTTATTCTTCACTTATCCCTGTTTGGCTTAAGTTCTTACTGTAGGGCCCCTCCTGGCCTGCTCATTCCTCTGTGAGCAGCTGCTGTGAAGCCTGTAGTGGGCAGCTGTCAGGGCCAGGGCTCAGAGTCTGTCAGGTGAGAGATTGTGAGAACTTGGCCTGCAGGGTTTGGGCATCAGTTGCCCCTTGAGGGGACATTCATTGTCTCAAAGTGAACGTGGGGTGGTTTGATCTGCATATGTCAGTTGTATCCACACCAGTTAATCATTCTGCTTTTGTTTGTAGTACCTTGGTTGTGAAGCAGAAGCTACCGGGTGTCTATGTGCAGCCATCTTACCACTCTGCATTAAGTAAGATGAGGATTCACTCTTAATTTATAGCACATTTAGTTCCTCCCACACAGATTTAGGCCTTAACGGTTTTATCTTTTCCTACAGTGTGGTTTGGAGTAATATTCATACGGCACGGACTTTACCAAGATGGCGTATTTAAGTTCACAGTTTACATCCCTGATAACTATCCAGATGGTGACTGTCCAGTAAGTTGGCTTCTCTTGTGGATCAGCAAGGAGGGCTGAAAGGGCTTACAGCTTTCCTGACCTGGTACCTCTATGATTTATCTACCCAGTAGTCGTTCGGGGGACTTGTGTGCTTTGCAGCAGCTTCTGGCATGCCATCCTCTGCCTTGAGCAAGGGAGGTTGGCTGCTGTCCTGTAGCACTTACCAGGTGAATGGTGATTCTCAGGCTCTAGTAGAGGGAGAGGGAGTTTTCTCCACTTCATTGCAAAATTTAGTTTTTCAGGAACAGGGTAAAAGTAGTTACGTATCCTTTTTGAGGCAGCTCTTTAGCTTTAAATAACATGATTGCCTTGTCCTGAAGCTCTTTTTATCACGATTTCAATGGGTCTCATAAGCGCCACTACTTCCATTAATGGACATGTCTCTATTTAAATACAGCGCTTGGTGTTTGATATTCCCGTCTTTCACCCGCTAGTTGATCCCACCTCAGGTGAGCTGGATGTGAAGAGAGCATTTGCAAAATGGAGGTAAGTAAATAAAGTGTTTCTTTCAGTGATGTAGTACAGCAAGAGGAAGCCTCAGTAATCACGCCGTGTTTCCCTTTAGGCGGAACCATAATCATATTTGGCAGGTATTAATGTATGCAAGGAGAGTTTTCTACAAGATTGATACAGCAAGCCCCCTGAACCCAGAGGCTGCAGTACTGTATGTAACATTTGCTTTGTTATTTAAAATAAATTCGAAGACGCAGCTAAGTAGAATAAGTTGATAACTTTTGATTTAAACTTTTAACACAGGTATGAAAAAGATATTCAGCTTTTTAAAAGTAAAGTTGTTGACAGTGTTAAGGTGTGCACTGCTCGTTTGTTTGACCAGCCTAAAATAGAAGACCCCTATGCAATTAGGTAAGTGGTGCAGCCCCCAAATAACTGTCCACTGTCCTTTCGAGTACACTGCTTCCTTTCTTCAGGTGGTCTCAATGGATATTTAAAAGGCAAATGCATAAACCGTTAACCTGCAATCTTTATAACTTGGTGCCAACTCAATTTCTGATGCCTCTGAGGCTCTTCCCTTAAACAGAAAGCTTTACATCTGACAGACTGTGCTGACAGCATGTTCTCTGGTGACTTTGGTTTCCCAGAGATCCTTGTGATACACTTATTCATTCACATGTCAGGACTCTTCAGCTGGCAGATTTAGCTGGAGCCCCTCTTAAACTGCCACACCCTCACAGACATGCAGATGTGGTAGAAGGAGGAAAACTGAAGAGCGTGAGAATGGCACTGTGACATTTGATTTAGGAAACAGTGTCTGGAGGAGTATTGGGAGTGGATGAATTGGTGATTTTGCTCTTTGGCAACATTGGTACTGCTTGGGAAGGCAGTGGAGTATAGCTGTTAAGAGCTTGGACTCATGGCCAGGTATGGTGGCTTATGCCTGTAATCCCAGCACTTGGGAAACCAAGGTGGGCAGATCATGAGGTCAGGAGTTTGAGACCAACCTGACCATCATGGCCAAACCCAATCTCTACTAAAAATACAAAAATTAGCTGGGCATGGTGGCTCATGCCTGTAGTCCCAGTGAGGCTGAAGCAGGGGAATGGCTTGAATCTAGGAGATGGAGGTTGCAGTGAGCCGAGATTACACCGCTGTACTCCAGCCTGGGTCACAGAACTAGACTCCATCTCAAAAAAAATAAAAATAAGAGCTTGGAGTCAGCAGATGGACTATTTGGCTTTTGTATGTTTTAGCTCTGATAAACCCAGAGAAATTAATTTTACCCTGCTTTCCTTTGTTAATCTTTTAAATAGTAGTACTTTAGGGGTTGGTGTGAGGCTTAAATGAGATCATCCATGTATGAGGGATAGTTATGTGAGAATTAATTAGGTAATATCTAAAACCTACATGTTGACAACAAAAGTACTGTTCTTTGTTAAGTTGGGGGATTGGCTTAAAGCTTAATTACTACAAAATGAATGTTATAAAATTTAGTTTTATAACCAACACATAGTTTTAAAATACTTTTCTCTTCCTTAAGCTTTTCTCCATGGAATCCTTCTGTACATGATGAAGCCAGAGAAAAGATGCTGACTCAGAAAGTAAGTGGACCACCACTTATGATATGGCTAACTCATTGTTTCTTTTCTAAAATGTCTTCATTGGAGACTGCTTGTTACCTACAAGCAACTTTTTTGGGAAACAAGTTTGTACAGTGCTGAAATCTCATCAGTCATTTTGTTAATGTCTGTTTTGATTGTGCCTAGAAGAAGCCTGAGGAACAGCACAATAAAAGTGTTCATGTTGCTGGCCTGTCATGGGTAAAGCCTGGCTCAGTACAGCCTTTCAGTAAAGAAGAGAAAACAGTGGCGACTTAAGAGATGGTGAATCTGGTGCACCATGCACTTTCCTGCTGGACTCTGGCCTAGTTCAAGCTGACCAATGGCAGAGGACTGCCTGAAGAGTAAAGCTGTGTGAACAATGACTGACTGCCAGTGTTTTCCATGTATGCATAGGTTCTAACAGCAGGTTTTGGAAACCTCTCTCTAAGTAATGCATTACTTCTGTCAGAAGTGTCTTAGGGTGGTTATCTAGTTCAGTACTCCAAATTTTGGGGACCTTGAGGCTTAAGTATTTTTCTGAATATAATGCTAAAGGTAAGTTGCATTCATTTAAACTAATAGAGCAGACAGAATTCAGCACTACTTAATAGTTTGTAAATCAGTGGTTTCAGTTGTATATATGTTAGGAAATGGAGAGATATAGAGAGAGCAGGTTCCATAGCTCAGCACTTTTAAGTGGAAGATCATTTGAATCTCAAGTCTTCAGCCTGCACTGATTTATAGCCTGCACTGTCTTACTGATTTATAAACTGAAATCACTGAGAAATGTCTTTAGTTGAGTGAGAAGAAACCAGAACACTTGTTCCTAGTGTTGTGTTGTTTTTTAAGCAAATTACTCACTGTATTTTTATGGCAGGAGGGAGAAAAAGTGTTAACGGTTTCTAATGAAGTCAGATATTTAAATGATGAATGACTAATGTGTTTAGTAGAGACAAAATAAACCAATAAAGGATTGTTCTTTGCCATTTATGCAAGAAACTACCCTTTTCTCAATATAACCAAACAAAAGCTAATTTATAAATGCTTTATTGAAAAATACACTTATCTTCATATAAAATTACAGTAGCAGTATCTTGAGAGGTTTTATAAATATTTTTGCAGAACACTATTCTAATTGAACAGTGTAAGTTCCATATTTTTCTCAGAGCAATATGAAGTTACCTAGTAACTTTGTTTATACTGATTCAATTTACAATTGAATTTTCTCCCTAATAAGATTATTAATTTGACTTGAAAACTGCTGGAACAATAGTGATTAATAAAGGTATGTATAGATAATTCAACAGCTGTTATTTAACACGTTCTAATTTGTATAAATGGTACTATGTGCTAATAAAAACCTAAATTCTCCAACCAATTTTTTAAACTGCCAAGAACACCCAAAAATATTTTAAAATATATCACCTTAATAGACATATCTTTTAGATAACTCCCTCCAAAAGGCAGAGGTCATAGTTTTTCATACTAATTGCCTCAATTCAACTTGATTTAAAGTCTTTTCTTAGCCGGTTGATTCCTATATAACAAAAAAACTGGAGAATTTAAAACCTATTCCCAAAAGGTGGCCATAGGGGCTTTAACAGTTTTAAAAAGTACAAAAGCATTAAAGAAAATATTGGATGTTTAGCCTGGAAGTTTTGTTCACATTGTAGAAAGTGCTATCACAAATATACAGCAAAATCTGGGTTACAAAATCATGCATTTTACAGCCCTAAAGTGCCGCCACTTATACAGGTTCACTCAGACATTGCACACCCAAACAATCAAGCACTTTTCACACTGCACCACACCGAATGGGAAGAGGGAAGACGTGCACAAAGGGAAACAACCTGGGTGCACTCTCCTTTCTTCTATTTCAGGAATGCAAAAATCACACGCTCCTACCAGGTGTTTTAGGACAGAACACCTAATTTTTGTTTTGCTTTTCATGAGGACTACAGCTGACCACAAAACAGGTAGGAGTGAACTTGAAACACAGTTCTTCTGTTGGAGTATGTCAACAGAAGCCTCCTATGCTCACATGTGAGTACCCGTCATTCTGTTGCAGTACTTTAAAGGCTTTGTCAGAGTCAAAAATCCAAGTTTGGATTCTAAGCAGCCTTGACAGTAATCACTGAATGGTAGGGGGAAAAAAGGCAGCCGGGATGGATTAAAATATCCTAAGGATACTGGTGGAAGGAGTTAAGTCCCATTTCTCACCAAAATGTCCCCTCCTGTTACTAACAGGCTGTAATTGATCAGCTGGATTAAGAAAAAAAGGCTCCATAGTCTAGATGCATTAAAGGTGCTGCTGCTAAACAGATTTTGTGAAGAGTGTGAATACAAGAGACTAACCTCAGTGGGAACCACGGTCATTAGCTACATCTTGGAGACGGCGTAATAAGGCAGAATGATTTTCTGGGCAAATTCTTTTTGCAGGTGATTCACTTCCATCTTCCAAAAGAATTCCTCTCTTTTTAGTTGGCGTTTCTCCTGTGCGTATCATACTATTAATTTCTCTCAGTCTCTATGGTGGAAAAAGATACAAAATTTTAAAATGCAAATGTACACAGCTCAGTATTAAGTCAAAGACTCTCAAATGAGTTAAATAGTTTACCTGGAAGAGTTTGAACACATCTACACACAAAAGAAACACACCATTTATAAGTGAGAACAGGTATTTGACTTAAAGAAAAGATTTTTTAAAAATAAAGAGAAAAGAAACACTTAAGTTACATAACCAGCTCACTTTTCAGCTGGCCAAGGCTGATGGCTATCTGAGAAGGAGCTGAATAGTTCTATTTTTAACAAGCTCCTCCACAGATGCTTTTGACCTATACATTTCTATCATTTGTGAGTTCACAAATTTTTTTTTTACAATAATTATGTAGCATTACATTGCTATGTGATAGTCACTTAAACACATAACTTTTTTTAAAAAAAAGTACAATTTTATACCGTATTCTCTTTTTTCAGTCTAATGTTACTCATTTTTTAGCAGCCATCCTCAACTGGGATTTCACTAGAAAAGTAGACCTTAATTCCCTAAGGTATCCATTGTAGGTAATAAATTAGTAAAATCTAGAATGGTACTAGTTAGCTATATATCATCTTTGGGAGATCTGAGGAAAGTTACTCAAATTATTTTCTGGGCAGTGGCTCAGATGAGGACCTGCAATTGAGAGACACTGCCAGGGTGCCAGAAAGACTGGCTGTCTGTACAGTGCCATTAGTATTCAGTTCCTTCAAAGCCCTGAAAAATCTTTCTGGTAGTCACATTATTTTCCGGTAGTCTGTTGGTTAAAATTCTTTTTCATGTGCTGCTTCATCCATGTTTCCTTACCGAAAGCATACTAAGCAAATTCAGACATTTGTTATAGGAAATTGCAAACATAAAAAAGTAGAGAGGAAAGCATAATGCATCCTCACATGCCTATTCCTCTATTTCACATGTTTCGCCAGCCTTACTTGATTTATACTCATTCACTTTCATCCCCCAGACTATTTTAAAGCAAATCCCAGACATATTTTATTCATGACACTTGTTATTTTTATTATTTACTTTAAAGTAGTAAACATTTTGGAGGTTTTAAAGAAAATCAGTGTTCTTTATTATCAACAGATGTACCTTCACAAGTGTTTCATTAAAAAAAAAAATTAGTAATAGAAATGGGGTTGCACTATGTTGCCCAAGCTGGTCTTGAACTCTTGGGTTCAAGCAATCCTGCTTTAGCCTCCCAATGTTCTGGGGTAACAGGCATGAGCCACTGCACTTCGCCACAAAATCTTAAGCTTTCCTTCAACTCTTTCTCTTCTAGCTCCCTTTCTGCCTTCCTAGGAGTCTGGTCTGCATTTGCTGTCTCTACAGTGTCCCATTTGCTTGAATATTTCTTACACTGTTTACTGTATACATTGTTAATTGTGTATAATCTATACACTGTATTACAATGTATAATTGTATACCATAATGTAGCACAATATGCATCGGTAATTCTATTATGTATATAAAATTTATGTATACATGATGTTTTATATATCATAATATATATATAATAGTTTAAACATGAATAAATTCTTATTCCAAATTTCAAATATAATATACCTAGACTCCTTATCTTCACCCAGTTCCCAGAGACACAGCTACTATTACTATTAATCCACTGAACAAACCAGTCTGGTATGTATCCTTCTTTCTAGGAATGTAGTCATTAGAAATGTAATACAGTGTATTATGTGGGGTTTTTTTTTTTTTTGGTAAATAACGGTATACTTTGTGTACCATTTGGAATATTTTTTCAGTCAACATTGTCTTTTACCTTCCTCTGTCAGTATGTATGGATCTGTAACATCTCTTCAACTTCTGTACATTCTTCTCTTGTATGTGTGTATTATAGGCTAATCCCCTACTATTACTATAAGCAATGCTACCATAATTTATTTTTCAACAAGTTGCACCAATACACTGACGTTGCCCTGTCAAGTATCACTAAGGATCAGTCTTCATCTTAACCCATCTTGCACGGTATTTGATGATTCTTTTCTCAGAGTAGTATAAATGTTAGTAGAGATAAGCTACTTCTTGCTTTGTAATATTCTCCCCCGAGGTCTCAACTCTCACCTATTGAGATGACAAATCTTTCTCCAACCAACAGTCTAATAATTGCTACCATTTTACTGGACAGACTCCCAATTCCGTGCTAGAAATACCTGCAGTCATATAAAACAGTTCCTTTCCTCTGAAAAATTCCCTCATATTCCCTTGTAGTCAGCCTACCCCAAACCACCACTAATGTTCCTGTCCATATAGTTTTGCCTTTTCCAGAATGTCACAGAAATGGAATCCTATAGTAAGTAGCCTACTAAATCCAGTGTCTTTCACTTTGCGTTCATGTATTTGAGACTTATCTACATTGAACGTATCAGTTCATTTTTATTGCAAAGTAACAATCCATTGTCTGCATGCACCGCAGGCTTATTTATCCAGTCACCAGCCAAAGGACGTCTGGGCTATTTCCCACTTTTTGGCAATTAGGAAGAAAGTCATTATAAACAGTCATGTACATGGTTTTGTCTAAAGAGCTTCCATTTCATTTGGGTAAATACCTCAGAATGAGATTGCTGGTTGTATGCTAATGGAATGCTTAAGAAACTGACAGCTTTCCACAGTGGTGATGCCATTTTGCATTCACACCAGCAATATGTAAAATTGCTCCACAATGTTGCCAGAACTTTTGTCAGTTTAGATTTTAGCCATTCTAAACTAACAAGCATGTAATAGGTGAAGTGTGTTCAAATCTTTTGCCCACTTTTACATGTGGTGGTTTTCCCACTGAATTTTGAGAATTCTTTAGATACAATAGATATACAAATGCTTCATCAGATATGGAACTTGTATAGGTTTTCTCATAGATTATGGATGGTATTTTTATTCTCTTAACTGTCTCAAAGAGCAGAAATTGTTAGTTTTAATAAAATCTAACAGTACTTCATGGATTGTGCTTTTGATGTTGTAAATAAAGTTTTCCCATAAAACATGTTCACCAAGGTTTTCTATGTTGTCTTCTAGAAGTTTTGTAGTTCGAGATTTTACATTTATGTCTGTGGTTTTTAGTTTTTGTATATGGTGCTAGGTATGGGTACAAATTTACTATTATTTTGATATATGCATATCCAGCCGTTCCAGCACCATCTGTTGAAAAGGCTATCCTTTACCAAATTGCCTTTACCCCTTTGTTGAAAATCAGTTTACCGTATACATGTGGTCTATTTCTGGACTCTGTTCTGTTCTATTGATCTCTGTGTCTATACTTTCACCAACATTACTGTTGATACTGTGGTGGTATAATACAGATATTTTGTTTAGCTTTGTAATTAGTGTGAATCCTTCAACTTTGACTTATTTTAGCTATTTGAGTTCCTTTGCCTTGTAAATTATAAATTTTAGAATCAGTTTTTTATATAAATGAATTTTGACTGAAGTTGGATTGAAA